GGCTACATATGTACATGTAAACTGCCCGCCAGGGCCGCCAGGCGAACCCAGCTCATTTGCTGCACCGCATTGCGGAAAACAGAGTTCGCAGCGAATTGAGCGTAGCAACCCGCGGTGGGTTTCTTTCCTTTGCCCCTATCTTCCCTTTTCAGCCCTCCGCTCTCCGCGCTCGTGCTCTACGTTGCGCACACGCTATTGCATAAAACAATGCACAGCTCATTTCTCGAGCGACCTTGTTCGTGTCAGACTGAGTCCAGGTATATTCTACACGGTATCTGGAAGCACGGCCATCGTGTCGCGGATCGCGCGTTACTCTCAACGCCCCCTATTCCACAGTCTCGCTGCGGCAATCACAGCTGCTTGTTTCGTCAGCATACATATCCCATGCACAATGCACAATACACGTGATTTGGCCGATGGCTGAACCCAATAGACGGGGCCCTAATTAGCGATCCCGTTTAACCCTCGTGGTGACCCTATCGCATTGGCCTGCGCTCTGCGAGCTCATCACCTGCGACGTCTGCGGTCCCAGTTGCTGGGACCTAAGTGCAGTGCGGCGAATATCTCTCACTCCCGTCAGACCGGCCTTTGCCAATCTATATAATAAAAGGATCATTTTCCTTTCTTCTTTCAACTCACCATCACAAATATCGCTCTTGCTCTCCTCTACTTTTCTTCAATCCAGCCACAATGTTCACCAAGCTCGCCCTCCTTGCCACTATCACCAGTGTTGCTACCGCCCTTACTATCAACAGTCCTGTAAGCAGAACATTGCATAGGCGGTCCAAGGGCTGACCAGTCATTGCAGGCCTCTTTGATTGAGTGTCAGCCGGCCTCCCTCTCTTGGTCTGGCGGTACCTCCCCTTACTACCTTGCTATCATCCATGGGTTCGTCTCCCTGATTCCTGAAGGTTTCATGATGCTTACCTGACTACAGTGGTGATGTCTCTTCCAGTGCTGTGTGTACCAACGTCCCGCCACATACAACGAGACTTGGCTGACACTATATGTCCTTTTGCTAGTACGAGTCATTCGACGCTGTTGACTCTTCTCCCTACACCTGGACCGTCAATTTGGCTTCCGGCACCAACATGTTCGTCGTTCAGCCCCCCTCTGCATCAAATGGCTGACAATGCATTGCAGTACCGTTAGGGTCACCGACTCTGACGGAACCATCGCCTACAGTTCTGCTGTTGTGATCCAGGAAGGTTCTTCCTCTTCCTGTCTCACTTCCAGCCAATCTGGTGTCTCGACCTCCAGCAGGTGAGTAGTTTCATCGGCGTTAAATCCTCTAACTGACTTTTTATCCTAGCGGCACCTCTGACGGAAGCTCTTCTACCGCTGCTGCTTCGACGACCGGCTCAGGCTCTTCTTCCACCGCCGCCTCCTCTGGGTCGACAAGCGCTGGTTCATCCGGCTCCTCTACCTCTGCGTCGGCCTCTTCCTCTTCCTCCACCTCTTCATCTTCATCTTCTGGCGCCTTCCTTACCAAGACGACTTCCTACGCTGCTTCCTTCGCTGGCTTGGCTGCCGTTGCCTTTGCTGCTCTCGCTTAGAGCTCGGCACCACTGCAAAATGACTCGATGTCATTCTTGAATGCTATCAGACTACATACTCGATATAACGAAAAAGCATGGACACTTGTTTACTTATTCTTTTGCACGACTTAATACTCGTAACCCTTTCCCGCTGTCATGCACGCTTTTGCGCTTTGTAATCAGGTTGATCAGTAGAGCACCGATTGCCTGTGTACCATTTTGCGTGAGGGTCCAGCTGGCTGTTTTTCAACCAACAATATGAAAGCTTGCGACTAGAGCGCGTGTTGATCATATCCAGACGTTCATCATGAAAAGCATTATACACATTAAGGTCCAAGAAAGTCCATTCAGGCAAAATCGTCCTTGGCAGCATGCACGCGCACCTGCACAAGAGTCAGCCCCATTCAGAATCATCCGAGCAGCACTCACCCGATACAAGCAAGTCAAATCACCTCCCCAGTTACTTTCCACCTTGAAAATCACTACTCCTACAGGGATACCCAGATTGACAACATCGGGTGGAACAGGGAATGTTTGTATATGCGAGTAGGCGGACGGGTCATACGTAAACGTGCCGAGTGGGAGATAGTCAACGTCGGTGGGGTCTTCTGATCTGCAAAAGTGGTCAGTCAATTGCTCGCTTGACTAGTCATAAACCTACGGATTCTCAGCCCAGTAGGAGGCCAGCTTTTCCCTATTTTCTTCGGTATCAACGAGTCCCATCTGTTGATATCAGCACTGGGAATCTTATTGACAAGTCACCACTCACAACTTTGACGCTCCTGGGGGCAGTGGCCACATCTATAGCAAGCTCCTTGGGTGCGTGCTCTATCGTCACATCCCCCACAACCACCCGGTCTACCAGCATCACCCCAAGACTGCCCGCGTCGCCCTGGAAAGGCCAACAGCTGCCGACTGAGATGTCGGGGTGCAGTGCTGTCGCAGGCGGTCTCCCCTGGACGTCTTTCCGTCCTAAAGCCCATTTCCCCAGCCCGGAAGCTGTGCGGAGAGTAAGGGTATCGGATGTGAGGTGAGGAATTACCCTAGCACCGGCCGTGAAAAGAGCATAGTCCGTTCGCGCCAAAGTGTCTTTCGAGTATCTCAGTAGCGCAGTGTCGATGAGTGAGGTGAATAGAGAGGTGAGGTCTTCGCCCTTGGATGACTTGATGGTGACTGTACTCGAAGGTGCTGATTGTTTGGACGGAGAAGCAGGAACATGTCGCGCAAGCTCGCGGAACTTTTCGTCCAGCATCTGCGTAAACGTCTGACGATCCATGAACGAGTCTGCTGACCGTCGATCGAAAGCCTTGTCCATCCATTCCTCCACCTTTCTCTGGTCGAAAGCCGGTGTCTTTACGGGCACGCCACCGTCCGAAGTGACGGAATCGGTGATGAGCTTTCGAGCAATGGTCTCGACCTCGCCTTTGCCCACCATGACCTTTTTCATCTCTGCCCAAAAGGCAGGCTCGACCTGGACCTGGCCCTTGGCATCTGTCCACACTGGCATCCAGTGAGGAAGTATCTTTTCGATCGCAGCGACCAGTCTGCCATCTTCCAAGGCCGCGTGAACGCTCTGCTCGACTATGCCCATGCGAGTCTTGAGCTGAGCAATCTCTCGCTCGAGAGATTCGATCGTCTTTGCAGACTTGTCGGACGCGCTCAGTAGCTTTTCGTGCTTGGCAGACTGTGTCGTGATGGAGTGAATCTCGGTTCGCAGTTTGTCAATTTCGGACGTGATGGCCGTCTTTTGATGTTTCAAATCACCCTTGACGCCTTCGACCCGCTTCCGTTCGGCGACAATGCTGTCCTCGACATCCGTGACCCTGCTCTTGATAGCAACAGCAGACTGCTGGAGGTCTTGGTCGCCTTCGCTAATTGCTCGAAGCATGTCTGAAAGGACAGCAGTCGCTTGCTCCAACGAAGTGAGACGATTGAACATTTCGTCAATGTTTGACGGCGGCGCGTCCGGAGCAGTGTAGATGCCTCTAGAGCGCCATGCACCATCAAACAGCCGGATGGCAAGGGACAGACCTAGCAATAAGCCCGCCCATTTCCACCAATTGTCCCTGGCTAGACGAGTAAGGTCCCGGCTGGTGCCAAAGACAGCACTGATGGGGCGCAGCATGATCCGGTCGAGAATGGTGGAAACAATCTCGACAGCAAATTGCAATCCGAGAGCGACCCCGTGTAGGAGATTAGTCAAGATGGTTCTCAGGTCAGAGGGCTGCCTTCTGGGCTGGTAGACCACCGATGGACCTGGCGAACGGCGGTCTAGCCGGGGGCTGAGCGCTCTCAGTAATTGAGCTGGTGTAGGTGATCTCCGGGGGACTTCAAGCTCTAGCGCAGGCGTCCATCCTCTCGCAGTTGCCCCTGGCGTACCATCTTCATCCGTCTCTCCCTCGGCTCCCCCACTTTGTCTACCCTTTCCTCGCCTTTTTGGTTGTAAGCCGAGACCCATGCCGAGGTACCCCTCCCCCCTCTCTGCGCGTTTGCCTCGTGTGCCGGCTCGTCCCTCAAGAGCTCCCGAACGGACGATGCCCTCACCTGCCCCGCCAGAATCGTCTGAAGCGAGAGATACGGCGTCTTCTTCGGCGGGGCGGTAAGGCATATCCTCGGCAGCAGCCTTGCCGCGTCGCTTCCTGTCGGCCGGCCCGGTCTTGCCTCTGGCCGCTTTCTGTTGTTGCTGGGCACGCCTCACGAATTCTTCCTCCTGATGATAGTCATAGCTCTCTCCCTCGCCGCTTGTGTTGATACTCTTGTTTGCTGAAGTATTGCCAGCGGAGGAAAAGCTGCTAAATTCTTCGCCGTCTTCGTCGGTAGGGCGGAGGAAGAAGCGGACGGGGGAGAGTGCCCGGGCGGACTGGGCGAGTGATTCCGCTGGTGAGATGGCGCGAGGGACCTGGAGCGAGCGGGAGGAAGACCCATTTGATGTGACGGAGAGATTAGATTTGGATGGAGGGGGCAGATGACCTGTTTGGGCCGCATGGAAGGCCGTTGCGATGCTAGGATGAATGTGAGATGCTGGCGGTCATGAGTCGGGGGGGCTTACTTGACGCTGGTGTCTTTGAAGCCTCCTACATTTGATGCCTTTCCCCGGGATGAGGGTACTTTGAATGCTCCACTGGTGGAATGTCAGCGGCAGATACGGCTTGTGAGTTGTTGATGTTACCTGGTGATGCTTTCACGGTCCCATTCGTCGTCGTTGGTCCTGTCGTGGGTGTTGCTGCGCCCACTCCTGGCACTGCGAGCGGGGGATGGCGGGGGGGCTGCCTTGCGGGGGGGCATCTGGGACGGGGGAGGGATGGAGGACACGATTTGGGCGTGAAGCCAAACACGATACACAAAGCAATCGCGAGAACGGGATCAATTCTCGCGGCGCCCACCGGCACCATGTCAAGTTTTGTCAACATTACAGAAGCGCAAGGTGCGATCGATGTGCAACGTTTACGGGTACAGCATTGATTTGGACTGGACAGATCGACATCTGACGAGAATACGCGAGTCAATGAATCCTCAGCTGGCGAGATATGCAAACAAAAAGACACCTGTAATAGAAACGACTGTGCCCAGGCCACACCACCGTGATTTTGTCATGATATACATCTCCCTCCAACCCATCCACCAACGTAGCATCCTACAGCCAAAAGCCTCCTTCCAAACAGGACACCCATGACCACAAGATTGCAACCCATACGTCGGCGAGTAGATTAACGGTAAGACTGCAAACAGCGTCAGTACAGTCATAGAGAGGTGGATATGCCTGCTCACTTTCTGCCTCCTGGCACGGGCACCACGACCTCCGAACTTCTTGGGCTCCATCCGCCTGGGGTCGGCGACAAGGAGAGATCGGTCGTAAGCGACGAGGGTCTTCTTCAACTCGATAGCAGAGGCAGCGTCCTCGTTCTTGGCGTAGAAACTGCTCATCATCAGCCATATCCCAGACTGGGACGGTGGTGCACTCACGCGACGATACCCTTGGCAATGGCCTGTCGGAGAGCGTAAAGCTGGGAGACGTGACCACCACCCTTGACACGGAGACGGATGTCGAGGTTGGCGAGCCTCTCGGGGCCGACAACGAGGACGGGCTCGTAGACCTTGTATCGGAGAACGACGCTGATTCGACGTTAGTTTCTCATCTTGCTGCTTCCACCCCATTGGCCAAATCCGTCCATTTCCTTCCATCCCTATCGTCCATGCTGTTCCCCTTCATGCCACACATTCTCCTGCCCGTATTCTTGAGGGATTCGACTTACGGCTCGACGAGGGAGATGGGAGAACCGTTAAGTCGGATGAGGCCTCGGCCAGGAGTGACGTGAGCCACAGCCGTGGCAGTCTGCGAATCCATTGTCAACACTCGTCCCCTTTCCAATCTAGGCCTCCTCCCTCACCTTCTTTTTGCCGAATGTCTGCACGGAGGACATTTTCTGTTTGATGGATGTACGCCGGGATGTGGAGCGAGATGGGTTGAGAGAGATGGGTTGGGACGGCGGGAGAGGGCGGCGGGGCTATGGTCAGCGGTGTGGCAGGCGGCTGGGTTGTTACTCACGTTGCTGGTTGAATAGACGGTTCACAGTTCGAACTTGAAAACAGCACCAGTCCACCCGCCCCATACTCCGAGCGTGGCACCGGCAACCCGTGCCTGGAATGTATTTATCACCGACGTGCGCGCAGGATGCAACGGAAACAGATGCGTCCCTCTTCTTTCGCCCCCCCGTTACGCCTACTTGTCTGAATTTCCGGATTCCTTCTCTTGCCCCTGCCAGCCACGATGAAGCCCGCCGCCCGCCTCCTGCTCGCCCGTCCCCGCACCCTCCTCCGCCCCCTCCCCCTCGCCCGCCCAGCCTCCACAGACGCCTCCACCTCCACCTCCACCCCGCCCCCCAATGTCGCCTTCGAGGACCTGTCCCAGCAGGCCAGCCTCGAGATGGAACAGGCCCTCGCAGAGAGAGAAGGTGAGCCTGTCGATCGCACGGCCCCGCTGACCGCCGCAGTCCACCTAGCCACATGGTTCCCGTCCAACTCTGGCAGGCACGAGCCCATCCTGCTGCCCGTCTCCTCTCTTGCTTCACCAACCCCCACTCAGCCCTCTGGCGACGTACGTCCAGCCCTCGTTATTGATCACCCGCTCACACCACCCAGGACGTCGTCATTGCCCTTCCCCCAGACATCTTTGCCCAACCCATCCGCCGAGATATCCTCCACCGCTGTGTCGTATGGCATCTGTCACAACTCCGCCAGGGCAACAAACAAACAAAATCACGATCTACCGTCAACTACTCTGGCCGCAAACTGATCCCTCAAAAGGGAACGGGTAGAGCTCGTGCGGGAGATGCTTCATCGGGCACAAGACGAGGTGGTGCGCCGATCCACCCTATTGCGCCCAAGAACTGGGCCCAGTCGCTTCCGCGAAAGGTCAACGAGCTCGGTCTCAAAATCGCCTTGTCTTCGAAATTGCAGAGCGGATTGCTCAGAGTAGTACAAGATCTGGGAGAGGGTGGATGGTCAGGGACACGGGAGGCCAGAAAGGCATTGGCGAATGGTGTCGAGTGGCCTCGATCTGAATCTGGCCTTGAACAAGTGCCGGAAGCGACAGCCGCCGAGGAATTAGGGTTGGAAGAGCATGTGCAAGAAAAGGCCATCGAGGAGCAGGTCAAGGAGGACGTCAAGGATGCTGTCGAAACAGCAGTGGAACCATCAGGACCCATCTATACCCCCCGCTTTGGCGCTCCAGATGACCTGTCCATCCTCTTCCTCTACACCCCTTGGAAACTCGAGTCTGAACTCGAAAGCTTCTTCCGGGCTACCCGAAACATTCCAGGCGTCAATGTCATGGCCGCCGACGAGGCGACAGTGTATGATATCCTCAAGAGCAGGTGGCTGGTGCTCGAGGGTGGTGCCGTGGATTATTTCGGGGATGACGCTGGGCCTTTAAGCTTGGAGGATTTCGAGCAGCCAGGGGAGTACGAGGTCGAGGAGGGCGTGGAAGCGGTGGACAGTGCCAGGGAAGAAGCGTTGAAGGCATAGATATGCATTATCACTTGGCCTATAGACACTATTATGACACTATTATAAATCATTATTTCCCCTTGCCTTCTCTCTCATCGTCCGTCCCCACCCCGGCATACTCTCCAAATCCATCATCACCTTCTTCAAATGGATTTCTCTTGTCACCTTCTTCGTCGCCCTCATGTCTATCCTCCTCTTCTTCCCCCAAAAGCCCTCGTCTCTCGCCGGTCCCTCCCTTGACACCGCCCACGCCCCTGTTCTTTTGCGCATTCTCTTCGTTTTCATCATCCGATTGGTCACTTGCGCTTCCGACTTCCCACAACACGTTTTCCGCTCTCGATTCATGCCCATCCTCGTGATCCTCATCGTGCCCTTCCTCCGTGCTCATCTTGGGGGCTCTTGGTCTCAGACGCATAGACCCGCCTGCTTGGACCGTTTCACCGACGGTGTATGGATCCGATTCCGTCTTGGCAGACGATTTGAGAGAGAGAAGCACGACTCCGAGGATCAAGACACCGATGCTCATAAAGACGGCGACAAGGACCCAAGTGGCGTATTGCCCAGCCTCATCGTAAAAGATGAGCGAGTTGATGAATCCAAAGACGGTGTAGCCAGCGTAGAACAGTGGTACAACGACGACTGTATCGGCGCATTCAAGAGCCCGATTGAGACAGACAATCTGAAAGATGGCAGTGACGATGACGCATATAAGGGAAATGAGTGACGAGGGATGGAGGAACTGAGGACAGTCAGTCTGGGTCTCATCTTGGCAGTGGTACATACAGGATGCCCAGGCAAACCCATCATCTTGACTGCCGCTTTGGTAAACACCAAACACAGCCCCGCAAGACTACCTCCGGCCACGCCCCATCCAATTCCCTGTAGCCACACCACTCGTTCATCCCCTGTCCGCTGAAAGAGGATTTCCAACCTGCCCACTGCCATTCTCTCAAACCTTTCCCATGTGCCTTTGATCGTTTGGTAGAATTTGACAATAAAGTTCGGGCTGGAGGGAGATCGAGATGTGGGAAGCTCGAGGGAGGGTGAAGGAAGAGGCGAAAATGAGGCGCGGGAGCGGAGGAGGGTCTTGAAGAGGGAGGAGACGATATAGGTGGAAGCTGTAAAGAGAATGATGAATATAAAGTAGGCGATCCATGCCCCTCGAGACCAAAGAAAATTCAAGCTGTCGTTTGTCAGCAGCCTCATCAAGTATGGGACACACGCTTACCGTTCAATGGGCAGGCTTTGTATCAGGCCATGGTTAATGCTGGAAAACACAATGATGAGAATGACGCCTATGATGATCACCGCCGTCCCTCGGATGTCTGTTGCCGTTACCGCTGCAAATGTGTCAGACCATGTCGCGATATGAATTGGTGCAGCATACGAGTTCCTACGAGCCAATAGGCAAACAAAAAGTTGAAAACAAGTGAGCTACTCCCTAGAGGGGCGACCCAATCTGGGCGGAGGTACCTCAGGGCTAGAGGGGATCCGACTGTAGTCTTGTCAATAGGATCGTGCGTACTGCTATTTGTGTATACCTACAGACTTGCGATGCACTGCGCGAGTTCGTTAGCGACAGCTAGCGATTGCATGGGCCTTGCTCACATGTACATGCCCATCCCTGACAACCAAAGCACTCTGAGATACTCTTTCTTTCGTTGTCTCCTCGGTATTCCCTTTTGCTTGATGTGATCGAGCTTTGTAAGATTCAGTCCCAATGCGTTGAAGACTGAAGACACGAGCACTATAAGGAGCCCTATGAAGGTGTTCTGGGGTGACTAGTGAGCAGATTGCCTGGAGCTTTTGCTTGAGTATCACGCACCAGAATATAGCTTCCTTCGTCACTTCCCAGATCGACATTAGGATCCGCCATGCCGCCGTCAAAGACGGTCGTGCCATTGCCCACTGTGCCGTCTGAGACGGAAGCTGTGGCGGTTGCGACATCACCGAGAGAAGCGGAGGCGGAGGCGGAGAGGAGGCTGGCGGTGGTGGATGCGGAGGCGAGAATGTCGAGGAGGGCGGAGGAGAGGGCGGTGGTGGTCGAGGCTATGTCGCTAGACATCCTGGGGGCATCACAGCAGAAGTGGTGATGTGTACGAGAGAGAAGGAAATCAGAGATGTCTATGGCCGCCGGGGCGGGGGACACCGCCGGTGGAGGCTGGCCTGTAGGGCTGTAGGGCATCAGTAACGCATCAACTGTCAGCCACTACAACCTCTCGCATCCCACCCGTGCAATGCTTCCCCACCCCTCCCTGGTCTTTGGCGACGCATGGACAGGGCCCCCGGCCCCCTCCGCAACTCCCTCCGCGCCTCCTCCCGCACCTCAGCAGCCGCCTGTTCCCATCGTCGCGCCCCCAGCCAAAAGGAAGCCAGGGCGACCTCCAAAGGGTCGTAGTGACCTAGGCGGATCAGTACCAGGCGCTTCCAAACCTCGTTCCAGTAATTCGGCTGTCAGACGAGCCCATGATCTCTGCGGTGACAGCGAACTTGTTGCCGCTCTTCGCGCCCGACAGCGTGTTGAATCAGGCCGACCCAGTACAGCAGCAGCGGCAGGAACAGCAAGAGAAGTTGATATGGCAAGGGAAGTGCAGCAACTCGCTCGCATGGAGGCGTCGATAAGAGCTAGGAGACAAGCAGTGAAAGCAATCCCCAAGTACGAGGCTGGTGGTCCTTCCCAGTCCGCCCATACCCAAGGCCGCATGGACGATGTGAAGCCATTCATCTCTCAGCCATTACCCTCTCGAGGAAAGGCCAAGAAAGAGCCGACTGATACGATGGATATAAGACCTGCAAGGCGAGTGCGGTGTCTGAACTTGGCCACATAACATACTCATCCTACTACAGACACAGAAAATCATGTCCAAAGACAATCATCGAAAGGCGCGAGTTCATTGTCAGAGATGGCATCGTTATCAAGCTGATCGTATGCAGAGACAAGAGCGATGTCTCAACGAATGTTTATGATTGAACGAATCGCATACCAGCCAGAACCTCATCGCGCGGACCAATTCAAAGTTGTGAGTATTCAGGCTTTTGGTACGAGGCTCACCCCTGTCGACTAGCTCGGATCAACTGGCAATGTCTACGTGAGTGAATACTCAGCGGAAAATTGTGCATCGACTTATAGAATGTAGACTGTAACCATCGGCTCTACACCCGATTGTGATTGTCCCGACTGCGAGAAGGGCAACTCGCCGTGCAAACACATCATCTTTGTCTTGTAGGTTGACTTGCGTAACGGAGGTTGTACGTGCTGAGCAGAATAGCTTGAAGGTCCTCAAAGTCTCAATCGGCAGCCCGATCTGGTATCAAAAGGGTATCACTGTGGGTGCTCATCACGCAATTCCCTTGTTTAGTGGTCGCTGAATCTCTCCCAGCCAGCAGAGTTGAACAGCGTTTATGCGGGTGCTCCAGCAGAACCTTCGGCCTCTGTATCAGTCAACAGTAGAGTCCGCGACGCGTACTTTAAAGCGACGGGCAAAGAGCCCCCCGCCGAACCAGCCCAAGGCGGGAGCGGAGGCAAACGGATCGCAGCTATCGGTGAAGACTGTCCTGTGTAGGTCTCCGCAATGCCCTATAGGGGGAAGGCTGATGGGTACTAGGTGCTATGATGAGATGACGCAGAAGGACGAGGATATGAAAAAGTTGGTGTATGACGAGTCGTTGGGAGGATGCGGACGTCGTGAGTCTTTGGCGCTTTTGTTCAACAGTGGCGTTCCAGCTGAAACCATCATCTAGCTCTTCATGATCAGTGTTTCAGGATGTGGGCAGCCACAGCCGTGCGTCTTGAGGAATCAATTTCGACAAGTAAGCTGACAGTAATGACTAGAAAAAACAACACAAGGATGTGACTTGCGTGTGGTGTCGCTCGCCATGGGCCGACAGTGCCGGAGCAAGTCAGGGCAAGGGCAAAGGCGCATCCAAGACCGGAGTCTCTTACAGTTCCATGGGATAGTGAGTTGTAGACATGGCGTGGTGTTTGAAGGGCTGACGTGTGTTCAGTATGAATATGGCGCATGCTGCGGGCATCAGTCCACGAAGGGACACAAGGTCAGCTGTTTGCTTTCGTCCAGCTTGTGGAACGCTGATCGTTGCCTGTAGCACATATTACCACGGCCGAGGACACCAATACGACGATGATTAAAGTATGCAAGCCTACATTATGTTGTCTTGGCAGATTCGTTTGATACCATCTACTTGTATATAACGCCAGAAGTGTATGCGTTGATCCACTCGCGCCATCTTCCAATTGTCATCAAGAGCAAACTCTTCTCGTTTGCTGCAAGGGTTATAGCGAGTATCTGGCGTCGGTCGTTTTCCTTGTCGAGATTCTACTCCGAGCACATGTCAGCGCTTTTTCAGCTTTCCGCTGTTCACTCACATCCCGAAGATCGAAAAGCTCCTCCAAGGATGCATCAGGGCAATGCATACCCGACAGCCTCTTGGTCAAGAGTTGGTACACTGCGTTGGCTACCGAAACAACATTTGCAGGTATTTTTGAGAGTGGAGTGTCTTGTGCCAGTGCCGACCACGAGCGCTCAAGAATCGTGACATCTGCTACAATCTGGTCCTTGATTTGAGAGGAGATTCGTGATCCTTCAACACGTGTTTGTTGCAGCCACAGGATGCCAAAGATGTTGATGGACAAGCGGCCTGACTGGTCTAGATTGCACATGTCGGGTCTCCTGGACACTTGCGAACATAACAACCTGTCCTCGTCGTCGAGGTCCGGGAAGCGAGGATCAAGTCGAGAGATCTCTGCGCACATCTCGAGGTAGTCACCCATACCTGTTGCGGACAATTCCGCGAGCTCCTCAAAAGTCCAAGTCAATCCCGGGTCTGCAAACTCTCCCGCCACAAACCCCCAATCTACAAGAAGCTTTCCGTCCCCCGCGGCCCCATACGTGTTGAGCACTTCCTCCCCCTCATCCAGATGCTTCTCCAATCTCATCTCGACGCAATCGACCTCGTCCTCTAACTGGGCTCTTTCCCTTAAATCAAGGTGCGCCAACCTGCCGGGTACACCCGCTTTCTGAGAAGAGGCGTCATGCGAGCATGGTTTGAGTGAGCCACAAGAGGGGCATACGAAGTCATCTGACGCTAGACATGTGTGGGGGTCGGAAGAGTGGTTGAGGACGTCTGCCATGGGACACATTGCGACTCGGTGATAGTCATCCACGAGGAAGGCTCGGGAAGAGGCAAGCGAGTAGGCGTGTGCGAAAGAGGTGAACGGGGAGGCATTGGGGTGGTTTGGCGTCGGGGGGATGTGGTGGGCCAAAGAAGCATATAGCGATTTCATATCTGCCTGAGCTAGGTGTAAGTCCTTATGCAAGATATTGCCGTGTTGTACTGACCATGCCGAGACCAGACCGGCCCTTGGTAACCATCTCCCGCGCAGCCTCGGTTCCCTGGAGCCATGGCAGTGCTCGCTGGCCGTCTGAACTTGAACCGTCGAGAGACCAAAAGACAGGCAGCGCAGAAGCCATATCTCGGGGAAGACTCTGCAGATAGCCATAGAATTTAGACTGCGCTCCCATTCTTAATTCGTGGAGAAGACAAAAGGACAAAACCAGAATCGAATGAGGTGTGGCGGCTTCAATCAATTGCATCGCTTGCACAGGCAAGGATGTGGTTCTAGCGGAGAGTATACTCGCTTTCGGGACTGAAAGCACTGTTCCAAAGTCAGCTTGGGAACTGAAAAGTCACAGATACTTACAGAGTTCCCCCGGGAGCATGTCTCGTCCTGCCACTATCTTCCAGCCAGACCCATCCTCCATTTCTGCGATGGCTATCCCTGGAGACATGTAGCCTCCGCGGGCCGTCAGCCACTCACAGAGACGCTGTTTACTTGGTGGAGGGCATGTCATTATGCCGCATACTGGGAGCAGTGGGGGGACGGGAGCGTGGTACAGGAGGCGCCCAGGACAGCTGCAGATGGACAAATACAGGACAGACGGACAAACAAACAAGATTATTCCATTCCTCGCGCCGATACAAACGCCGGCGGCCGGGGGCATTGCGTGATGAAAAATTTCCTGATTGGGAAGGTTGTTGTGTTGACCAAATATTCATTTGTTGATGTTCGTTGCCGACTTCGGGTTCATCCATCGACGGGAACATTCCGCACAGACCCCGCCGCCACCACACACAGCCCGCTGCCCCTCCAGCGCCCGTCCCTGCCCCTGTCGCCGATCTCCACGCTGCCCTCTGCCCAGGCGCCCCACCACCCCGTCGTTTGTGGCTCCGCACCTGCCCACAGACGATCCCGCCACAGCATGCCCTTCCCCCCTTCAGCGCCCATCGGGCAGCAGCCGCTCTCCATCCCGGGTTCTTCCACCAGCCACCAAGCCTTTGGATTCAACCCCAGCGGCAATATTCATTTGTTGATGTTCGTTGCCGACTTCGGGTTCATCCATCGACGGGAACATTCCGCACAGACCCCGCCGCCACCACACACAGCCCGCTGCCCCTCCAGCGCCCGTCCCTGCCCCTGTCGCCGATCTCCACGCTGCCCTCTGCCCAGGCGCCCCACCACCCCGTCGTTTGTGGCTCCGCACCTGCCCACAGACGATCCCGCCACAGCATGCCCTTCCCCCCTTCAGCGCCCATCGGGCAGCAGCCGCTCTCCATCCCGGGTTCTTCCACCAGCCACCAAGCCTTTGGATTCAACCCCAGCGGCAACTCGTTTCCTAGACAAGGCAACTTTGCTATCCAAGAGCAACCGCAAGCCCACATGGGCGGCCGATGGGACCCAACGGGCCAAGCGTCTGGCGCGAGTGGGAGCGGGATGGCACACGCAAGCCAGAGGACCAGCGGACTGAGCAATCTGATGAGATCGAGAGGGAGCGAGATGGAGTCAGTCGCACGTTAACGTATATCCATAGAAGCTGACAATATACAGGATGAACTCTTCACCGCCGGGCGGGGGTTCATTGTCATCCAACCCGCATGCGGGATTCCATCCCTCGTCGTACGGCCCCAATATTGCCTTCACGGCCTTTGCTCTGGGGTCGTCGGCTCAAGGTGCAGGCGGAGGCTCATACCTCGGCTCAAGTACTTTGGGTATGAGCATATCGCCACCGCATTGGGGGTCATTGGGATCCGGCAGTTTTGTAGGTAGTCTGGGGAATCCTGTCCTGAGCACAAGTCTCAACCGAGAACGGGAAGGGCGGGAGAGAGAATTGGAAGCCAGATATGTCAAAGACTTTGATTGCTGCGGCAAAAAGCTGAATGGTCTGCATGAGCTTCTGGAACAGTGAGTTTCGTCAAATCTCGTTAGCCAGTCAGTCTTGAAGCTGACTTCTACAGCTATGAAGAAGAACATGCCGGTCTGGCCCCCGATGTCCGCGTAGCCGCCATCAACGCTGCTCAAGGCGGCTCCACAAGCTCCCCCAGGGCTGTCTCCAATCCCTTTTCCTCTGCCCCCTCCGTCCCACCATCACACCCTCCTCCACTAGTTACGCATCAGAGCCACAGCGATGCCCCGCAGCCTCCAGGGATGATGGACATAGAAATGGAAGAACCTGCGGCATATCAGCAACCGCAGGCTCTTAATCTGGCACAGATACAGGCGCAACAGAACCAGTTTGGGGTGCGGTCACCTGGGTTGGGAGGGCAAAGTACAAACCCATGGGCGGCTGCATTCCGGCCGCAGCTGTTGTCTTCGCAGCCGCAGTGTGTCCCGCCCAGTCTACTGTCATATGCACCCCCAAGCACACCGGGGTTGACGCCTGGCGCATCCGCTATGCCTGTCCCCTCGGCCGCTCCCAGCCCTGTCCCCATGACACCTGAACAGCAGGCTGCCAGGGCAGAGAGGAAGGCGAACAAAAAGAGGGCGGAGAGAACAGCCGCCCGAGGAGACGAGGGCTCTGCCAGCGAAACCGAAGGCACGGCAGCTGCAGGAGAGAAGAGGTTCCCATGTCCTATCGAAGGGTGTGGCAAGGTATACAAACAAGCCAATGGGCTGAAGTATCACCTGACACGGTCAATCAATTCTAGCCATGGTACCATACCACCCCAGAATCTGGCGGCTTTATTGGGAGAGAAGGGCGGAGAGGTGGAAGTTTAGGAGGCAGGCGGGGTGTCAGCTCGCGATTCATCTTGTTTCACTTCTGGGATTTTTCTCTATTTGTACTTTTGTGTCCGTCTTTTGCTACTTGTACAAGGGTATACCAGGTTCATAGCGCATATAGAGTGTATGTATGTACTACATGCGAAGTCGTACATCAAAACATGATCAAACGGAACAAAAAATGCAGACGAATGCCTCGAGCACCAACTAGTCCTCATCCATCCCAACCTCGTCCTCGGATCCCTCTTCAAGCTCCGCACCAGCCACGAAACCGGCCTCCTTCGACCACCTAGAGCCCAGATGTATCCGGAAGTCCTGCCGCATTATTAGCACTCTATCGGGGCACGCATTGCAGATACTCACCGCCATCTGGATGGCCAGCAGCTTCAGGATACGACACTTTTCACTGGTGAGCTTTTCGCCCTTTGTGCACAACACGTGGGGGTTGTTGAGGGAAGGCACGCCACGGATGAGGGTGGTGGTCAAACCAAGAGCACGGAGCTGGGGTTCCATGGAGTGAGGGAAAGGGTCTCCAGAAGGAGGGTCGGCGAATGGTGTAAGAATGGGACCTATAGCAGTCATCAGAGACAAGTCTGACAGAAGAGTAGAAATACTCACCTTCCGGCAGGGAAATGTCCATGGTGGACCTCATGTTCATCCTCGCATACTCGGGCTTGTGCCATGACTCAAACCATTCAACAGTCTCCTTCACAGGGTGGGAAGTCATGAAGAGACCGAGCTGGCCCTTCAATCGCTACATACTAGTCAGTGACCATGTGTGATGGAGACGCTTTTCGACATACACGGGCAATTTGAGCCAGACCGTCTTGGTACTCTGTTTCGGGGGTCTCGCCCAAAGCCTTGGCCATGACCTTTCCCTTGCCAAAGAAGAAACGGCCAGTCCCTCTCCACTGCGCTCGCACTTCCTTGAGCCCCTCGTTCCTCATGTCGCCGACGCTGAAGATCCAGCAGTGCTCATACTTGTCGATGTTTTCCCTGATCTCGTTGACGAGGGCCTGCTTGGAGGCCTTTGTGGACCTGACGGGGGTCTTGGAGAGGGTGGTGACCTTGGATCGCTTGGACTTGGGCATGCTGCAATTGTTGTTGTTGCTGAGGAGAGCGCCCGAAAATTGGTGGAAGAACTTGGTCTGAGGTGGAGGCAGGCACGCTGCCACACTGGGAGCCCCCGGCGTTATCCGCCACGTGGCATCCAGTCAACCAACTCACATCATCAGATGATCCTATTGTTCTTGTTCTTTGTTTCCACCTTTCTTCTTCCATCTCCGCCATGCCCGCCCACGACGCACCCCCGCCCTACAACGCCCACGGCGACCCCTACAACCTCGACCCCCTCCCGCAGGAACAGAACCGCCCTGCCCTTCCCGAAAACAAGAGAAACATCCACCTCGCCGCTCGTGCGTGTAGCGACCGTAGTTCCCGGACAGCCACTGATCCATCCGTCTAGTGCCCGCCGAAGCAAGGATAGTCAAATTCCAAACTATCGTGCGCGAAGGAAGGGAGATCGTTGTCGGCAGAATCAAGGTGCCTACTCCTGTGCGTTTACACTGTTTGTACAGGTCAATTGCTGATGCCCGACCCAGGCGACTGCGGCCGGCGCCCGTCACGCTTTCATCCTCCGACGATACGACACCAATGCGATCTCCCTCACGACAATGTACAAGGTCGCTTTCCCCACTGCTACCGACGAGGACGAGAAGCGGGAAATGGATTGGGTTTGTCATCCACACCTCAGCGACCTAACCCGCTCACCCAATGCAGGTCAAGTCTTCTTTCGACACTCGAGGAACCAACGGTGGAAGGGACAATTCGGCGGTCAGACTTGCTGGCCAATGGGTCTCTCGAAGCCTTGCCATTCACCTCGCACCCGCGTATAAGATGGATACCTTGATCAATGTAAGCTATTGGTACAAACTCTCTGTGTTCTGACTCACCGATTTCAAGGCATTGGCACGAGCTGTCCCCGATCCCAACGTCGCTTACCGCAAGTCTCAACGATCCCAAGCTGCCTCTGACGAGATTGCCCGTCAAAGTGGTGGGGGTGAAGATGGGATCTTTAATTCCCCCGCTCCGGCTTTGGCTCCGGCTCCCGCACCTGCCTCAGTGCCCTCTCTTTCTGCTGGTGACAATGCGTCTCCCGCAGCCAAACGTCGCCGCAGAGATCAAGGTACCGCTCCCCAGCAGGCTTCCAGTAGCGCATCCGCTCATCAGCCCTCGGCCACGGCCGAGCCCTCTACTACCACGACCGAGGCTGAGGATGTCCAGCATATCAGCGTGGAGGCAACTACTACCATCACCGCTCCTGCTGGCGAAGCCGTTGACATGAATGCCGAGATTGAGCAGGCAAAGCAGCTCGTCAAGGACCTTCGTGACGAAATCAGGCTTCGCAATGAAGCAGGCAACAGCCTGGAGGATCAAGGCGTGGACATTGCCGAGGACGTTCGAGGGACCAAACGAGGGAAGGGACAAGACGAAGGCGTCGCTCTTTCCGGTGGCGCCTCTGGGGACAATAGGGTTGTCCGCACCAACAAGAGGATCCCTCAAAACGCCGTTGCCGAAGTAGGACGCAAGTTTGGGTGGGGCGCTCTGGTCTTCAGTGTTGGATTGGGAGCATCTCTCACGTGAGTATCGTTTGGCTTGTTTGCTCGATTGCTGACTTGCGTCGCAGCTTCATCTCTCAATACGCTTCGAATCTTTTGTAATATTGGTAAGTGAGTTTCATTTCCAGTGCCGACTTTTGGTCGAGTATAGCGAGCTGGGATATGTTCATTGAACCAGTATTGTTTGTCTTTTATACTTATCTATGGCTACCGTTGCAATTCTGGTTGTTACCGTAGTCATTGTATATACTTTTATAGCCGTCCCGGCCTCTCCTTCATACCAGAACATCGATTAGTCCACGTATATAAATATCAGCTTTGACCAGGTAGGATACACTTTTGTAGGCTAGGAGACCAAGATTATGTAGAATTATCTAGTATTCTTGTCAAGTAGTCGTTCATGAATACATATGGGAAACATGCAGAAACGTAAAGTCTGGTACATGTGAGGTTTCCAGTGCCCCAGAGATCTAGAGTTTGCATGCGTTCATCTATCTCCGGTAGCCACTGACAGCTGCGTCATAGCTGAACCCCTGCGGCGTCTGTTACTAATGGAGATGGCCAGTCCTTCTTCCTCTTCTTCCTCCTCGTCGTCTAGTAGGACGGAAGAGTTTGCCTGGTGGGCCAACACGGCCCGTCTCGAGTCCTCACGGAACTTCCCACCTAGGGGACTTTTTGTTCTCTCGCTACCAAAGCCGGTACGTAACGGGGAGTGGGAGATCCGCGGGCTTGTTCGCGGGGGAACTCTGTGTACAGAATCGGGCGTGGTTGGGCGTATATTCACAGGAGTGGGGCGTGATGGCGAGCGGACAATCGGAAAGGTCATGGCCGCGATCGGTGAACCATCTGGTATTGGTTCGAGGCTTGGGGCAGCAGAGACCGACGTAGCAGCCGGTTGTTGGATATCGAGCCCGATACCATTGCCGTCGGGCTTGTTCCATCGTGAAGGTGCTCCGACCTTGCCCGCGCTACCACCTTGGACGTAATCGTCCTCGTCGGATATCGACCCTTCCCAATCGATCTCCTCTTCAGGAACGTCTTTTCCCGTAAACTCCTCACTCAGGCTCGACCCTCTTCGCGATATATTAGTGCGCATGCGAGTGTCCCAGCCTGCCGGCAGAGATCGCTCCGGGCTCGGCATAGGCGACGACGGCGAACTTGAATCCAAATACTCCAGACTTTCTCGAGGAAAGGGGTCGTCCAGGCTCATCCGGCCAAATTGATTTCCGGGGGACTCTGACCTGACTGATCGATCCGTGACGGCCAAGTCTTCTATATCAGAGTCATGATGGGGTTCTCTCTCGGGCGCCAGAGATTTTGATCGTTGGCTGGTTGTACGCCACAACCTAGCAAGCTTACTACTGATACTAGACGCATTGCTATGAGATCTTTGTCGTCCATAAATGTCTGCTTCGCTTGCTTCGCGATATCTCAGACTTGCGACGTAGGGCTGATCGGAGGTGCTTCTGAAGCGGTCTAGGGAGCTTGATGACGCGACAGAATGAGGCTGATGCGTCGTATCATCCATGAGAGGGACGATGACTGGTTTGGCATGATGAGCCAGATGGGAGGAAAGTCGCCTGGCCGCAATGTAGCTCGGGGGCAGCTTTACTGCCGGGTCCCTCATAGACTCTGGAGAAGCATGGACTGGACGATCAGAGGATCCGCCTTGTCCGCTCGCAGGGTGCACTGGAAGAGGGTGTGAATGTTCTGACGATGTGCCATTGAGTTGCGAGAGTTGTGAGATACGCCTAACCAGACTGGGCTGCGAGAGAGGGCTGTTTATGGGAGAGGCGTCCTGGCTTGGTGTAGCCACAGTGTTCAAAGCTGCCAACTTTAAGCCCCGGGGAGTTGTCTGTTGAGATGTCCAGGCCGACATTGACATTGCCTGGCCGCTCGACGGGGTCCCAGAGGGACTTTCCAAGCCCAGCGGGGTATCTGTACTGCTGACACTGTGACCACGCGCTCTCCCAGTCGCACTGAAAAGTTTGACCGACAGGGACTTGATCCCTCGCTTGAAACGGTCACGGAACCGAGTCGATTTGGTGACGGCAGCGGCCACCTCGTCGCTAGACACAGTGACAAATGTCTGGGTATGGGGATCGGTCTGGGCCAGCCAAGCTGCTGGGTCATGCAGGCCCCGTAGAGTAAAGGGATGTTTCTTGAGTGTTGTCAGCATGGATGAGGTAACGACTCGGAGCGACTCACCTTTGCTTGTTCAAGGCTGATGCGATGCGACGCATCCTTCTCCAACAGCTTTGACAATACGTTCAACGCCTCCACAGCTTCATCAGCCGGAGGAAGGCCACCGTTTCCGGTCGGTAACCGGTCTTTTCCCATGAATGGAGGCACTATGTAGGGATCCGAGGCGATGACTTGCATCAAGAGGTATTCGTTTGGAGCGTCGAATGGCGTCTTGCCAAAGAGAAGACAGTAGAGGGTGACGCCCAAAGCCCAGGCGTCTATAGCATTCGTGATTGGCAGTCGTTGTCCGCGACGTTGGGCCGTGGCAGAGGAGGACTGGGAGCGATAGGATGAAGGTCGCCGTGACCCTTGAGAATCGTTACTGTCGGTAGGCTTGAGGGGAAACGTGCGCGAAGTCGCAGACTTGACGGACAGCATCGCCTCGGGGTAAGAGTCGGCGCATGAAGGGGGGCGAAGGGTAAATGATGGTAGTTCCGAGCTGGGAGTGCTGTAGCTGGTTGTGCTCTTTGGCGAGAGCTCTGCCTCAAGCCCCGAGTAACACATCTCGGGGGCAAAGAACGCTGGTGAACCCGCAGTCTTGGCCAGCTCAATATCGTCCACGTACGCATCCCCCTCATGACCAGGTTGGGCAACAGCAGCTTGAAGTGCTTCAGAAAAGTGGGAGCAGCCAAAATCAGAGATCTTGACGGTGCCGTCTGCCGCTCGCAACAGATTGCTCGGTTTTATGTCTCGGTGTATGATGCCTTGATGATGGACTAGCAAACAAGGTCAGTGATCTCTGCCGCCATATGGGCTAACTGGACGCACGGTATTCGAGCCCCAACAAGGTATCCCGGAAGATCTTGCGAGTTTCTCCCACAGTCAAAGCCGGCTGACCCTCGCCGTCTTTCCAGATGATTTCGCCGCTCCTACACCATTCTAGAACCATGTATATCTTGCTTGATTCTGGATCATCGATGATTTCCTTCATCCGCACGACATTGGGGTGATTGACCTTTTTGAAGATTGCAATCTCCTTGCGAATTCTGATTGTCAGCGATAGGTCGGTTTGGGCCTGACTCACTCGCTCTCATTCATCATTTTGGCACCCCCAGAAGACCCCTTGTGCTTTCCTAGACCAGCTAGACGCTTCCGTTTGGGATTTCTATCAACGATTTTGATAGCCTGTAGCAAGTGAGCCAAGGCCGCTGAAATGCAATGGAAACATACCCAGAATGAGTCTTCTGGAGAAGCCCCAGCTTCCAGCTCGCCATTGTCGTCTGCCGTAGGAATCTCTGCTGTCATATCTTGCCCGAGGCGAACACGGCCATGAGTACCGGACCCAATCTCTGACAGAACCTGCGGGTGTCAGCGATGCCTTGCGGGGATGGAACGCACCCTATATTGATTGATCATCCACTTGCCGGATTCCTGGTCCCGCTTGACGTGGACTGCGCCCGTCTCTATGCTGTAGAGGGCTAGTCAGCGGCTGGCGGCGTGGAATAGGCGGTGGGACGCACACGTCGGCGGCGGCGTTCTCTGCGATGGGGCTGTCGTGGGAGTGGGCCCTGAAGGAGCTGTTGCGGGAGAGGGTGGCGGGGGGTGTCTCTGGGGGCGCCCTGCTGGAGGACCTGCGGGAGAGCATGGGGGGCTTGGGGGGCGGGACGGGGCCGGGCGAGGACATGGAATGGGAGAGAAGAGTGGTGACGCGCCGGGTTTCGCGTTTCTTCTTTTCTGCATCTGCTGGCAAGTGCTGCTGCATGCTCCGCCTCAGACTCCGCCCCCGCCTCTCCAAGCCCCCCCTGCCCCGCCCACGCACCATGGCCACCCGCTCCATTGCCCTCGACCCCCAGGAGACAGCCTTCGTCCAGCTCCTCGACGCCTTCGCCACCGCACAGAACCCCCCCGTAGAGTGCCGCATCGCCGGAGGCTGGGTCCGAGACAAGGTGGGCACCACTCCCTCCAGCCAGTGCTGACCCCCAGATCCTCGCGCTGCCGTCCGCAGACCTCGACATCGCCCTGTCCATATCCTCCGGCTATGCATTCGCGGCCAGCTTTGTCGACTTTCTTCATACCAAAGGCGTGTCCACCGGGTCAGTGGGCAAGGTCGTCGCCAATCCCGAACAGAGCAAGCACCTAGAGACTGGCTGTACTCGCATCATGGGTCTCGAGTGCGACTTTGTCGGCCTCCGCAGCGAAAAGTACACCGATAGCCGGATACCCCAGGTTGTGAGTCCATGTCTACAGCCTACAAAACTGACAGACAGGAACCTGGTACGCCATACGAAGATGCGTCGCGCAGAGATCTCACCATCAATGCCTTATTTTACAATGTTCACACTCGGCAGATTGAAGACTGGACTGAGAAAGGCCTCGTCGACCTTGAAAACCAAATCGCTAGGACACCTCTTGCTCCCCGCCAGACCTTCCAAGATGATCCACTCCGAATCGTCCGTTGTGTCCGCTTTGCTAGTCGATTCAATCTTCACATTGCCGAGGACGCCTTTGAGTGCATCAAAGAGGATGATGTCAAGGTGTGTGATTGCGTAGGCTGTTAGATACACTGCTTATACAGTGCAGCTGGGCATCGTCGACAAAGTTTCCAAAGAACGCATCGGCATAGAGATGACCAAGATGATCCACAAGAATCCTTACCGAGCGCTCGAGCTCATCCATCAGCTAGGTCTTCATCCCTATGTCTTTCACTGCGATGTGAACCCTCCCCGTCACGAAGCCTTCGCCGCAGCGCAAATCCTCAACGCCCTGTCGGATAGAAAACAGCTCGACGAGATGCTCTGGCTGGCAACAGCTGCTACACCTTTCAGGCATCTCGACGTGAGAAGAAAAGGAAAGAGCGTGCCTGCGACAGCTATCGTGATTGGAGAAGGTCTGAAGGTGAGCTCTCTGACGAGAGGTTGGACTGGGCTGATACCCGAAAGCTTTCCACAGAGATCAAGTCGTCGGTCTCCAATCTCTTTGACGCTGTAAAGGTCATCGATCCAGGAGCCACTCGGCGGTCTGACATTGGCGCTGTCCTCCAACTCCCGTCTGTTAGGCCATGGAGGAGAAGTCTGGTCTGGGCGGTTGTGATGGAGGTGTTGCCGCAGTGGAGGGGTGACTGGGATGAAGCTGCCGAAGATGTATATCAAAAGTATGAAGATTTCGAGGCTAGGATCGAGTCTCTCGGATTGCCAGCGGCGATTGACCAGCCTTTGCTATTGAACGTGAGTCCAAAAAATGATTGTGCACACTGACATTGTCAGGGAAACGATGTTCAAAGTCTACTTTCTATTTCCCCTGGGCCCCTTATTACCGTCATCCGGCAATCCCTCAATCTGTGGCAGCTGGATCACCCAGAGGCCACAAGAGACCAGGCCGAGGAGTGGCTCAAAAGTCAGTGGGAGGGCCAACAAAGAGTGGAATGGGAAAAACTTGCTCCTCCGAGGGTGATGAACAAAAAGACCAAGAAGGCAGAGCCGGGGGAGAAAAGAAAGCGGTAGAAAACTTACACTGTATATCCATGACTCGATGCAGAGATGATCTCGAGATATTCATTGTACAACACAGGAAGGAGTTGTGTTTATTTACCATGCTCTGCGCATAAGACGTCTGAAAGGTGGCCAGATGATCGAAAATGATCTTCATATCGAATTTTAAGCGACATGAGATCCAGATTGACCGTAGTAGACTGGCAATCTTGTAAGCTTGTCGCGAGTTTGGAGCCAAATAACGCAATGATGGATCGACGATATAGGCCTCGGTGGCGATGGCCGCCTTTAGGCACGCGGGCAATTTCATTCACTCGCTCTCGCTTTGATGCGTGCAGTAACAATCAGGCATTCGCACAAGAACCCGAAACAAATCAGTGTGCGCAATGGGAGCCAAAGCCCAATTCCTACGGGATGTTCGCAAGAGATTGTCGGCAGAAAATATGGAGGTTCAACGACGAGCGTATCTTTTTGTCGCCAGAAATACCACTCTCCCCGCTACCGTCCGACACAAGGCCCAGCTGGGTCTCAACTCTCTCAATGGGGGCGAGGGACGCATGGGAGCTGTGAGCAATAGGTGTACAGAGACAGGCAGGGGACGAGGTAGGTCATGCGTTGTTTGATGGCGGGCTGGCGCTGACTTGAATCACAGGTGTCATATCCAAGTTTGGCCTTTGTCGAGTACGTCCTGTTGTCGCCCGACTTCAATGCTAATGATTCCCATAGTTCCAATTCAGAACAAAGGCTCTGCGAGGCGATCTTCCTGGGGTCCACAAGGCGAGCTGGTAGCACTGCGCATGGATATTGATACATGCTGCACGAACGCGCCAGCAAGTTTACCCCATGTCCAGCCTCAATCTTTCTACACTCGCATGCAGTGTCACACTCGGATGCAAGTCGGCTTCTTTCGTACCTCGAAAGCGGCGATCGTATCCACAGCTGATCTGAAGGCCGCTTCTTCGTTTGTGGCGTTCAGCAGAATCTAGCCGGTTGGTACCCAACCGCTCAAAGTTATCACTTTCTTCTAGTGTCTCTAAAACCCACAACAACATTCTCGATCCATGCCAAATCGCCACATATACATCGCAGCTTCGTGCCTTTTGCGCAAATGCACAAAGACGTCTGATTCCTTCAACTCGGAAAACTCCATGTCACCTGAGAGCAGAGTCTGTCAGATTATTTTCTGCCATATGCGACCATTGCATACAGCCTCCCTATGGTAATTCTTGCTTGGTGGTGGAGACCTCTACTTTGATCGCTTGTCGCGTAGCACTCCTGGTCCGCTTCAAAGGGGGTTGCTCTTCAGAGTTTTTAATGACCTCTATTCTTCTAGTCTTTGTCGTTTGCTTGGTGACAGACACCACTTCCTTCTTGACCGTTGGCGCAGGGGCCAGATCGGCAGCAAACATGACAGCCTGGCATAAACCTGCTAGTGGCCCCCACTTGTCGAGGAGGAACTCTTGGGTCTCGTCGTACACCTGCTTTGACATGGGTTTGCCACGTAAGCGCGACGGAAAGGAGGGATGTCGAGCAGCGATGTTTGCCACATGTGTGTCGATCGGGACGAGAGAAGGCTGATACAGGTTAGTGAAAGTTACTAGGAAAACTGGAGCGCACCTTGTCCAGACACATCAACATGACACAATCAGCAACTTTCCTACCTACACCCTTGAGCGCAACCAACTCGTCTCTGACGGTCTCGGTGTCTCGGTGTCTCCAAAGAGCAAGCTCTGCCTCGATATCCCCTTTTTGACTTCCAAACTTGTGGCGCAAAGTTGCCAGGGACGACTCTATGAAAGGCGCTCTATACCCAAAACCCAGGTCTCGCAATGTAGTATCAAGGGCCACCGGTAGTAGATGAGGCGCGGGAAAAAGATGATATGTGATTGGGGGAGAATGAGGAGAGTGATCGAGTGTCAACACAGGATCCGTGAAAGTTTGTGAGAGTTTGTGCAGTAACGAGGTTATTCGGGAGATGTGATTGTTGGTCGATGTGATGAACCTGCGCATGGTCAGCCACGACTAGCTGGCAAATCAAGTCCTTACGCAACGAGGCATTCCCATGGATCCTGCCTGAGAACTCGCACACCTATCGCTCTAGGATTGAGCTCTGCTGGTGCAAACAGCTTTGGATCTCGCTTTCTCCATTCGGCATACAGGACGTCAAGATCCGGATAGGTGGCCAGCTGGAAATAGTCTTCAAGCCACACTTTTGTGGCCGACATGTGCTCGTCTCTCTCCGCCGCAGCCGCATTGGGATAAACGGCAGTGTAGTGAATGTGGGTAGGGGACTGGCGAAGACATACAACTCGGGGAGGATTGTCGATTGCTCGGGAATACTCCTCGTCCTGTTCTGCAGTCTGGGGCAGCCTGTGCCATAGAAAACTTTGCCCGACGGGGAGAGTATTGGCAAGGGTGAGGTTCCTGGGGCTGATGGGGATGGACCGCCAAGCTGCGGGAAAGGGGGGCTTTGGGATGGCCATGGTGGACATGGTATGACAAGCTGATGACGAGACGGAGAATCGCTCAAGTTGCTCTTGATTCGGCGGCCGGACGCAGGCTGGCGGCGATCTCCGACAGTACTGCTTCATGATGCCAACGCAACAACAGACAGGTTTCTGTGCACAACGAGCCTCAACCACAATGAACAGCGACACCCTGGCCATCGCACTCGACAGGGCAAAGTTCTACGCCAGAGACGCCATCTTCACCCTCTCACAGGCAAGTCCTCCCCTCCTCCACGCTCACCCGCTGACCCCCGCGCAGTGCATCTGCCAGCCGTAAGTCTCCCTCTTAGTGACAGCACTGACAGGGCAGTGATGCGACACTCAAAATCAATGGCCGATCATACAAAATAGAGAAGCTGCTTGGCGAAGGCGGTTTCTCATTCGTCTATCTCATACGCGACTTGTCGTCGGACAGGCTGTACGCCTTGAAGAAGATCCTGGTGACATCGGGGCAAGACGGGGTGAAGGAGGCTATGCGAGAAGTAGAAGCGTATCGAAGATTCAGACACCCGAATATTATTCGTATTCTGGACTCGGCTGTGGTCCAAGAGGAAAGCGGAGAAGGTAAAATAATATATCTGTGAGTCATCGTTCTTCGTTGGAAGCGTTGCTCATCTGTCGCAGGTTTCTGCCGTACTTCTCTCGCGGCAATCTTCAAGACGCCATGAATACCGCGGCTGTGACTGGAAACCGCATGCCTGAACAAAACTTGTTGACGTTATTCCATGGAACATGCTTAGCGTAAGTTGTGCCAAAGTCTCATCTCATTAGCTTATCGCTAGCAGGGTTCGTGCTATGCACGAATACCACCTACCAAGCATCCCCACCACCTACCCCCCTGCGGCTTCCCGTGAAGACCAGCCGCTAGTTGGTGATACTGTGTTTGACCATGACGAAGAACTCGACACCGCGGTCCAGGGCGACCTGGTCCCATATGCCCACCGGGATATAAAACCGGCGTGAGTCCAATGTCGGGTCTGTGGCCAACAACTCATATTCTTTAGCAATATCATGATAGGTGATGATGGAGCGCCTGTACTCATGGACTTTGGATCTACGATCAAGTGAGCTAGCAGACAACAAGACGTTGCTGACATTTAGGGCTCGCATCATGGTCAATACACGACAAGAAGCGTTGCTGGAACAGGTGCGTCTATCCACTTTGGGACTTTGCTGACGTACATGCAGGACATTGCCAGCGAACACTCTTCCATGCCATATAGAGCACCAGAACTCTTTGACGTCAAAACTGGCAAAATGTTGGATGAAAAGTGTGATATATGGGTGAGTTTACGGTCTACAAAACATTTGCTAATGAAAACAGTCTCTAGGCTGTACATTGTACGCAGTCGCCTACGGACATTCACCCTTTGAAGTCGACGGACAGTCTATTGCCATGGCGGTTGGCAGCGGGCGATACAAACAACCACCCGGCTACTCTCAAAAATTCGTCGCTCTCATCGACAGCATGCTTGTCGTTGACCCCGAGCAGAGACCCAATATACAACAGGTGCGTGTTCTTTTGCTCGAGTGTTCTGTGCTAAAGATATACCTAGGTCATCGACACAACTGAGGCAGCTCTCAGGGAGCAAGTGTAGATCCCTTCCTCGCATTCATCTCCATTATCCATCTTGCCCTTGCCATGTGAATCTGATGCTGGTGCTGCTGCGCAGCTAATCTCTTGGCATATTCCTCGGGCAGTATCGGAGGATGAATAGGTGGACGCGGTGGACGCAGCGGCAAGTTGTAGCCTGGAGAGGTTGGGAAATGGGGGAACGGTGGACATGTGAATACCTTCTGCTGTGATGTAATGAACTTTTATTCCACCGACCATGAACTCACTGGCTGCCAAGGCGGACGACGAGGGTAAACATGCCAGGTGTATACTGGAACGCGCGGCCCAGGCGTAGTGAACGAGGCCGACGTGTACATGTGATGAGGGTAGACAGGCCGCTCGGAGAACAGGGACTGGGTGGTGTAGGTGCCAGGAGGTCCTCGAGGCTCCGTCAATGGGTCCGAAGGTGGTCCATGGTTGATTACTAGGCTGTTGTTGTATTCCGACCTAGCTTCTGGATCCGACAGCGTTTCATACGCCTCTAAAAAGATGTCAGTGGAAAGGCGCAGAATGGAAGCGGTCGCACCCTGCACTTTACGAAACAATTCTGTTGCTGCTTCTCTCCCCTCCTCTGGGCATTTATCCGGATGCGAGCGAAGGACGGCTTTGAGATAGGCTTTCCGTACTAGACTCTGTCAATACTTGGGGTTTCCGCAAGCCGCAACCAGCCCAGAGCGCTAGAGGCGTTCAACGCCAACTCACTTTCTGAAGAAGACGCGTCTTGTTGGATTTCGAGCAGGTCATAGTGTGTGGGGGGCATTGCTCTACGTCGCAGTGGGGTGACAGAGCAAAACTGAGTGGCAAACGGAATACAGAAAGTATTGAAATACTTGGGATGCTTCGCTGAAAGAGAGGAAACGTCGTAGGGGCACCCTTCATCCATCAGCGGAGCTTTGAAGGAGCGAGAACTGAACGACGCACACACCCCGAATACACGCGCACATCGCGCCATCAAGCGGCTGCCATCCGGAAGAATTGGTACAATTTAGGCACACTTACAATAGCTAGAGTCACATCCTAGCGAGTATGTGCTACTGTACGCTGAGCATTGCGAGAAGAAAAGCTGGGACGTGGACGCAAGGCGCACACAGATTTTGGGGGTTTGCCGTTTGGCTATGTCTGATCAGTGATCGCTTTGCACCTTATCTCCAGGCACATTTACATGCACTGAGCGAGACAACAACCGGAGATAGGCTGGCTCGACACAGCCAGGGAGAGTGGTACTGTTCAGCTTGTTCGTGATGCAGGCTGTTGAAAGAGAGCGGGTCCCCGATAAACACTTCAAATGTCTCCAAAACAGATCTCCCCCTGAATCCGCAACTCCCAGGCACTCTCATATTGGACAACTTTCAACGATAAATCAACGATAAAAAGACAAAGAACAAGTCATTAGAAATGACATGCTCAAAAAGAAATAACAAAAAGAAATGACGCGAGTGAGATTCGAACTCACGAGCCCGAAGGCACCACATTATTATGTAACACATATATAGCAATGTGGCGGAATAACCACTATCCGATCGCATCTTATGGTGAAGATTTTACTTGGGATGTATATCTAGCGAGAATAAAAGAATCACAGCAATGCCTGAGACTTTATCAAAGATATCATCCTCATATTCTCTCATCTTCAGCAGATCAGAAACAGACTGAGGAGTCTAGCTGGGACAGTCAAGGTTAATCTTCACACTTTTGGCTGGTCAATCAAAATCATTTCCTCTGCTGAATTTTGCTTGTTGACAGCTTTGTCTACCAATATACAATCACACAGCCCAAATTCCCTGCCTGATTCCCTGCATTACCAGTCAACAATAAGCAGCCACTTGCAATGTGTCATTGAAAGCTTCCCAAAGGAAAAGTTCTATTCTGGGGGATCTAGATGCATGCACCAAGTCAGGAAAAGCTGGTCTGAAGCTACCTGTAAGGGATTGGAACAGATGTTGTGACATGTTCTATGGAATGCAGCATTTGGTGACTAGGGTTGCCGCTATAATCTCAGGGATGCATAGGGGGGATTGCAAGATGAAGTTCCCATATATACATTGTGCCGCATCTCCTTATCCTTTTCCCTATTGATGTATTCTTGTATATTCCTCCTCACCTATATCCATCCTTCACTCCTCCAGCCTATTCAAGGTTGACATCTGGCACCCCTGGTCGGATCCTCCATGTAACCGCCCCTAGGTTACACCACTCCTATCCACCTCCTTACATTGCCCAGCTCCAAGAGTCTGATCTTGAGCAAGTAGATTGTATTTATATTAGGAAGGGTATTCATCCCTGATCTTCATCTTTTTCTGAAAGATTGATATTTTGCAGACCACTCAGCTATCAGGTCTATCTATACCCACAAGTGTACTGAACCTACAGAATGTGGTGATCAGACCTGCTTTGGGGAGACAGCTCTAGCAAACACCAAGTGCGATAGGGGTTTAGTACAAGCGCTAGCATAAAAAGACTTAGATGTGAGGTGGCAAAGGTCAAGAACAGTTGTGAAGGCTAGATAGAGAAGAAGAGGAGGTGAAGGGAAGAGAGAGAGTCATGAGTGTTGAGGTCTCTATTGCCATCATCCATCCTTTCTTATGTACATGAAAGTGTGACAGGATGATAGAAAGGTCAAACACATTGAATAACCACATTCTGGAACAGATTCTGGTACAGTACATGTTGGCTGGACAAACACACAAGCAGGTTGGCCACTGTAGAACCAGATACAACTTTGTCACAGGGCTGGTCACCAACTGTTGGGTTTGGCTGATGATTTGTCCAAAGGAAAGGAGGATGGTGCCAAGTTGTCAGCTATTAAAGGGGTCAACAAGATATCAGACTTGATTGTGTGACCCTTTGATTGTTACCAGGAAGGTTGTTTATCCATAGCTGGGAGGATATGGAAAGTATCTTCCTATATATACCTTGACCTACAATCTCTACAGTTGACTCAGCATGACATTCCACTCATTTTGTGATCTGAAGGTACTTCTGAACAGATCACTGTCAATGACAAGTGTAAGGATCCAGTGGTCAGATCCCAGGGTATGAGTTAACAAATCCAAATACCAACATATGCATCATAATTCCAGGGTTGGAATTGTGATGCAGTGGCTTTTGCTGCTCATCCGGTTAATTGACCTTACTTGGTATTCAGGTCCTTTACAACAAGTGCCCTATCCTGTAAGGGATCGGTATGGACTGGCCAGTAGGAGGAGATGTAGTGACATGGACATTGGAACGCAGAGTCTGGTAACAGGGTCACCGCTATGTTCTCAGGGACAAATAGGCACGGAGGCAAGAAAAGGCTCCCATACATACATTGTGCCGCGTCTTTGTATCCCTTTCCTTATTGATGTATTCTTCTATTAACCTCATCACCTATATCCATCCTCTCACCTTTTCAGTCTATTCAAGGTCGACATTTGGCACCCCTAGGTTACGCCACCTATCTCCTCCTTACAGAAGAATACATCACTTTTCAAACCTTTGATAGGTGAATTACTGCCCACCCGCCCACCCTACAAACACCATTCCGCCCAGAAACACTTGGGTTCCAACCCGCTCCTACCCACTGCCACCACCATGCCTGATAAGATTCTTGAAGACCAATGCAACCCCCAACTTGGGCCATTCAGAGTCATTCTTGTCAGAGAATTGTGCTAGTTCCAATGAACGGGCGCTGGTGAGCAACAATGATGTCCCTTCTGCTGTGGACCTGTTTTTCTCTTGTCTAAACCATCAAATTTCCTCTCTTTCCCCTTCTCCAGTTGCCCCCCCTTTGGAGTCAACTAAAAAACTCGATGTTGCTGTGCCCAACAGTTTTCCAGGCACACCTGACAAGCTGCCTACCTTCATTTTCGAGATGGAAACTTACTTTTTTGTCAAGTGCATGCCTGAAGGCTTGCAGTTTCCTCTCGCCACGAAGTATTTGAAGAAGGATGCCGTAGGAATCAAGGAAAGCGCTCCCAATCTTGCTGACTCTTGGGCCAAGCTCAAGGAACAGCTGCGGCTGGCTTACATGTCTATTGACCACAAGCAGGTTGCGATCCAATGTTTGAAATCTCTCAGACAAATGTCCGCTGTTTCACAGTACTTGTACTATATGAGTACCTCCTTTCTGGCTGAAGCCCATTATACTGGGTGCAACAAGACTGCTCTAGTTGAGCAGTTCAAGGACGGACTGAAGCCGGACATCCTCCGCATTGTCATTATGTCCCAAGGAGGACTTCTTCCCACCACTGTTTCTTCTTTTCCTGCCATTGCGGGTCGTATTGACACCCAATTGCAATCCATTCCTTCCTCTTCTAATGTTTTCAAACCTAAATCCCGTTCTTCTTCATCCACCTCCTTTTTCCCTACCCCCACCAAGACCTCTTCCCAGCCTCTACACTTTCCGGGACTCCCACCCAGAAAGCACGAGGTCTGGGTCACCATTGATGGCGAGTGTCGCCAACTTCCTGAGGAGAAGCTCTACCAAGCAATCCATGGCTTGTGCAAAGTCTGTGGTCACCAACACTTGCATTGAGACTGCCCTGTTGCTTGTTCCGACGAGGAGGGAAACACAAGACCCTTGGTCCCATGGGTCCGGATCAAGGTGTTCAGCCTTGGACCCCCACCACTCCCAACACCACATTATATACCCTTGCTTCGTTTCTGTCTGCTCATTCTGATACCCACAAAAACCCCAAACCACAAGAACATAAAACCACAAAACCCAAAAACACTTCTTTTTCTTTTTTTCTGGAATGTTCCCTTCCCGCACCCACAAAAACCCAAAACCCCAAAAACAGAGTGGTCTTATTGTGATTGATAGTATCATTATGTAGCATGCTAGGTGCCTGCACGCCCCATGGACTCTTTTACCCTTGCTCGTCTCCGTCTTCATCTCCGTCTTTGTCTCCGTCTTTGCTTCCTTTACTTGTTTATGTTCTTGTCCTCTCCTTTAGTAAGGCTGTCCAACGTAGGTCGACACGCCATAGGCGCTACCCTTACCTTCTTTCGCCCGTCTCTCCTTCCTTATTGTCTTTAACGTTTTCATATGCTTCGCTGGTTGACTTGTACCCTTATTTGCTTTGTGCCGTAGACGTATTGCATAGTTGCTCCGTACATTGTCTCGTCACTCATTCATGTATATAAGAAAGGCTGGGTGTTGGGAAAGAGATAACACACATCTCTTGACTCTCTTCTCTCCCCTCCTCTTATTCAGTAAACCTCCACTCCTTGTACAAAGGCCTCCTCCTAGCGCATCAGTGTCTTCCTC